TTTTTTCCAGCACAAAATGACAACATACTCTTTTCAGGAGATTTCGGCTTGATCTAGCAATTTGTATAATATTATCATCTATTAGCAGTTCAAATGATTCTTTGGTAGTCATTTTGAATTTTTGATGAAAGATTGAAATATCTTTGCAAAATAATTGTAAAAATAAAAAAACCATAAAAACACATTTCCACAAAAAACCACCGTAACTGGTATCGTGGGGGCTGCGCGGCCCCCAGAAGGTACGTAGCTCCATCCTTGTAAGTGCTACAGGGCCGAACATTTGGCACTCGCTAAGAGTCGCGACGTAATGAGATTACATAAAATGGCAGCTGCGCACGATATTTAGTTTTTTAAAAAATCGTAAAAATATGACGCGTGGGGGCCGCGCGGCCCCCATAAAACCAGTTAAGGGTTAATATGGGAATGCATTCTAAGTACAGACACCTCATCAGCCTACTTAAAGGTTAGACACATGGTAGTTAACACAATAAATGAAGCGTGCAATGCCATAATGTTGTAAATGCCAAAAAAGAAACTTTTCAGGAGAGGTAAAACACATTTTTTCTAATAAATGAATTCATTTCAATTTTACGATAAAATAGTAAAAAACTCACAGTGTTACAAATCTCTGGAATATCAAAACGATGTAAATATAAGCTGCAACATTTTACGTTCCAAAAGTCATGTAACTTGCACTCTGGCACTTTAAATGTTATATTTTCACATAAATTCATCCTCAAAATACAGCCAATATTGTCACAATATTCTTTTGTGGCAGAAAACATTGCATTTAGAATTCAATTCTTCAATAAAACGTATTTAGAAAAAATGGCATTTACAATGTTACAGCATTGGACACTTCAAATATCTAAAATATTGTAACAAAACAGTTTACACTATGATATCTGTAAAGTATTGGCCTTTTAGCAGAGTGGGGACAAAAGAGGCGCGACCTTGTCAATTGGACCCACGTGCGGTCGGGTAATACCACTTGTAAGGTGTTGTCTTGTAAACAAAGTGAAGACAAAGGAAGCACCGGCTTTGTTAATGGGACCCACTGCAGTCAGACGTTAGTACATTTACCATCTGGTAAACAAACGAACGTAAACAAGTGGCGGACGTTTGTGTAAGCTCCCCTCTTGTCGGATGACGGTGGACCCGAGTGTAAGCTGTCCGAGCATAAAAAAAAGGGTTGTGATTGGTCGGAAGCCGACCCGTCCAAAAAACCTTAAATTGCGGGCCGAACGAGAGGAGGAAAGGGCAAGAGACTGGTACACGGTAGTCTCAGGCACTTAGGAAGCCCGCTGAGTGTAGAGAGAGTGTTCTCCTCTGGAAATCATCTCAGGGACGGGTTAGTGCAGAGACCGGACTGACCGTGCAGTTGAGCCGACTCCACAAGCTGATTAAAGTCTCTCCAAAGGTTATTAGTCTCCAGACGCCAATCTGGCACGTGAATCACCACGTATGGGTTATACTGTACATATACTATGTTTTCTAACTTGTACTTTCTGCAACTGTAAATAAACTGTAAATATATTCAATTTGAGTGTGGAGGTGTGCTTTCCAATGAACCTGATTCATTACATCGAATCGTGATACACAGGAAACCAACTGAACGAGACGGAGTTGGGAAAGAACATTAACTAAGATATTCACTATATCACAAATAACACAGTACACTGTGTACACAATTACATAAAATACTAAATTAAAACTAATTAAAATTGTACAATACAATAATAAAGACGAGTGATAGTTGTAGTTAGTCTTGAACCAACAAATTAAACTGTCTCCATAAAACATAATATTGGTTCTATCAATAATAAATTATTAGTTACATTTAGGACTTATTTTTCTTTTTATAAATTAAAAAAATTTGAGTCTTACTTCACTCAATTTAATCTTACTTCCTCTCAGTTATATATAACAGAAGAAAAGTATGGCAATTGGACAAAGTGGCCTCCCAAAGAATTTTACATTTTTGGACTCATGATCTAGAAATGTTGAAAAATGCAAAAAAAATTTGGGGGTTTTCCTGTATGAAGGTTTTATTTTATTTTATTTTATTCACTCTCTTTGAAGCTTAATAACTCTCATGCATTTTGTTCAAAATTTCTGAAATTTTGCAGAAAGGTTTGTTTATTAGGGGCATTAATACTATTAAATTTTGGTGATTAAAGGTAGAGGAGGTGGAAAGATAAAGGGAGTCATCAGTATCTCCTATAGGATGGGACTTAGTGATGATTTTACTCATTACTAGCATTCACAATTTTTTTATAAAACCCATCCCTATCCTTAAATTAAGCTTTTTGCCATTTTAGAGCAGTTAAAAATACAAGTATTTTTTAAATAAATTTAAGGTTTTTTTAAATAAAAAGATTGTAACAGGGTCTCAAAAACAAGTGGCCAGGTAGGCTGATATGAGGCTTTACCTTGGNCATTTTGATTTATATTTTATTACCATTTAAGCGCCATTTTAATCATTATAATGATATGATAATTCTCAATCAGAACAATTAAATTTGTTTATACTATATAAATCCGTTGTATTAAGGTTTTTTTAAATAAAAAGATTGTAACAGGGTCTCAAAAACAAGTGGCCAGGTAGGCTGATATGAGGCTTTACCTTGGCATGCAACAACACGACTGCACATTACAAACAGCATAAAGGATAGACTGGCTGGCTTTTAGTAGGAGGTTCAGGAGACCTCCAACCAAACGCCAATCAGTCCATCATTGAAGTTCAGATCTTGTTCCACAATTTCTAAATCTTCAAGCTCTGAAGGAGGAATTGAAAAACAGTCTATTTGCTTCTGACACTGAGGTGCACAAGGTCATTTGGGTTTTCTGTCACCAAAGGCCACAGCATTTCTTTGTGGACAGCATCCACCAACTTGTCAGATGGTTAGATAATTAGACAAACACCTCAATGCCCAACAGGTACTCATAAAGGCAATTCATTTGTGATGTAGAAATTTTATCTGAGAGGATTTGTTTCAAACACACCATTTGAAATAATATCCAATATTTCAGTTACTCTCAGTAATCAGTTATAAGCATGCAGCTAGCAATTTTTGCTTTTACTCATCCACAACAGACAAAAACAATTTAAAATATAGTATATCACGCAACTTAATTTTTTATTTAAGTCACTAATAAACATATTATCAAAGAGAGCACAAAGCGACCAATTCAAAAAAATGTTACAATTTTCATGATGACTCAGGAAAAATGTTTTGTCTGTGAAAAATAGTCATCAAAAATCATAAACAAACCAAGAACCTTTACAGAACTCAAAAACAATAATGACAGTATGGCACGCTTAAAACAAACTCAACATACAATTTTCAGTGAAAATCTTGGCTTGTGTTTCAAAAAAGTATACACCATTAAACACATTTAAAAGGAAACCGAAACGAATAAAGCTCATCCAATGATCATGTCAGAAACTGGGCATTTCGTCAAAATTCCTACAGATGGGCACATATCATTACTGCTTCTAAATTTTGCCATTCACAGTTTTATAACAAGTTCGTAACATTTCACGCGATACAGTTGGCCAATCGAATCATATTAAAATTTTCTGTTCTGACACCGGGGATTACCAAAACACTATTAGTATTTAACACAGGACGACTTACCTCAGAAAGAATTCCTCCTCCACAGCCCACATCCAAAATTTCCAATCCTTGCAGAGGCAGAGGTCCTTCAGTGGCCTGGGGCGAAACAGCTCCAGTTCTCACCAGACCATCCCGCACCAGAGACACCCGCAAGGGATTGAGGGCATGCAGACCTTTCATTGCACCATTCTTATCCCACCAGCCAGAAGCCAGGATTCTAAACTTCTCCACTTCCTCCACATCCACTGTTCCCTCATTGGCACTCCTTTATCATTGGCAGTAAAAAAAAACGAAGAATTAGTTTTAAAAACAACTGTAGCTTAAAAATTATTGGAAAGAGAATAACAAATGCAGAGAGTTCGGTTAATCAAAATAAAGATAAATGGGAAAGCCCAGCATGACATTTCGCCAGATCACAATTAGGACAACCAATTTTGTTCCAGGAAATCCAAAATAAACATAACATTAACACCCAGCCTTTACGTCCACAAATAACAAAAGACTACAACAATACAACATCAGAAACCAATTTTTTTTTGGATAATGAGATGCACGATAGTGAAAATACGACATACAGTAACACATCAATCTAACAGAGTAAGATAGCAAATGCAAATGACGCAATGAGCAAATGCAAATCAAGACTCTAAGGGTTATGTATGATTCAAGCTCCGAACGAGGGGTTTTTCAATGTCCAGAATTGTACAGCCTCTCGTACGAGCAGAAAAGTCAATGTAACCATACCTGTAAACACAATACTTCAAGATATTTGCCTCCAAAGGTCAGTTTTTAACACATTTTGCCAACCTCAACCGATACTCTGCATGTAGTCATGCGCTTCTGTGCTGGCTATTGCTCGCACCTTGGCACCCGGATGGGTGCAAGCCTCTACACTCCCTAAAACCATATAACATCAAGTACTCCACAAACAGTCAAGCGGGCTATTCAAAGCCAGCACAGTTGCATGGGCTAAATAATTAAACGAGTCTTAGTAGAGTGACGCAACTGGCAATCTCACGCAACCCGATTTTGGGGAGTTGCATCTCACAAAGGGTGGCTAGTAGAAGTGTGGTTCCTTACGGGACATTCCAATTTTCAACGCAAGTGTTGAGTGTTGAAGTCAACAATTTGACATCATCGCTGACATTCCAACTTTGTACGAAGTGCTTAGTTCCCATAATTCCATTTTCAGCAAGATGGTGGACAAGTGTATAATTTCTTCTGCTGTTACAGCATTTTGCAATATTTTTAGTGACAATGCAATGATTTTGTACAAAACGAAAACACGAAGACGATGACTACAAACTGTTTCTACATGTAAATGTAGCAGCTATGGAAGAAAACAAAGAAAAAGAAGGCCAAAATAATAGGATATGTAGAATAGATAGTTCCTTTATATTCTATGGAAGATTTTAAATCTCACTTTCATTTGACGCATTCAACAGTTGAGGTGTGTAAAAGTGTTTAAATTATAATTATCTGTTTAGTTTGTCAAATATTTTACTGTAATTATTTTCACAAAGGATAGAAGCGTTTAATTTTAAAAAATTTAATTGTTTCAAAACTTTAAAATATATATATAATTTTACCTAAAATATTTCGTTTATGTGGCAAATGAAATGATATTTAAGCAGCAATCACCATTTTAAGAAATTTTATTTTTATTTCAGCATTTGATGCAGATGATTATTTTGGAATATACTAAAAAAAAGCCAGCAATGAAAAGTGAAGATTCCATATTATCATCATTATGGTTGGCAACCAAGAATCTATTTGAGGTGTTGCTGACAGATTTGGCATTGAACAGGGCCTTGCCCACAGAGAACTTGTTGCATTCTGTAAGGGTATAATGCAAATAGCAGAGAGAGTTATCCAGTGGCCTACAGAAGAAGAAATTGAAAGAACTGTTAAAGAATTTAATGAACTGAGAGGATGCAACAGTGTTCCTGGAGTTTTAGGCTATATTGATGAAACTCATATTCCATTTACAGCCTCCAAAAATGAAAAGTTTGCACATTTCAACAGAAAAAATTCATTTCTGTCATTCTACAGGCTGTATGTAATGCAAAATTAAAATTTATAGATGTCTTTGGTGGTTGGCCAGACTCATCAAATGATGCCAGAGTTTTCTGAAGAAGTCCTCTCTTTCTAAAGATGAAACATAATCCCAAGATAATTTCAGAAAATTATCATTTATTAGGTGATAGTGCATATCCATTATCCGAAAAATTATTAACTCCTTATCGTGATAATGGACACTTTAACAATATGAAAAAACATTACAATAAAATTCTCAGTTCAACTAGAATTGTTATTGAACAAGCATTTGGACAATTATTTGGCAGATTTAGAAGGCTGAAACATCTACATGTTTTGAAGGGATTTGATTCCAGAAGTGATTATTACTGGCTGTATATTGCATAATTTGTGCATTTTATACATTGATATACAGGTAACCCCCATATAACATGGCACTTCTATAGCACGGATTCACTCTAACATGCTTCGAGAATTGGGAACATCCCCCGTATAACGCGGTGCTTTTATAGCACGGGTTCACTCTAACACGGTTCGGAAATTGGGTAAAACCCTCGTGCAACATGAAATGTAATAAAAGGTGCATTCTTTTATACTTCCACCTAACTCCACGCGAGCATTCTAATTGTTTTCGTGGCTACTTTGAATGCTCTTTCAACAATAATTCATTTAATGGTTAAATTTTACAATTGAGACCCTTCTTTTGCCTCTAAAAGTTCATTTTAGAATTATAGATTCCTCCATCACGATCCTATCGATAGGACGGGTGCCACCATCTTTCTTTCACCGTCGTTCCTAAATGCCTAAAAAATGCAGTGCACCCCCATTGCAGAACGACCGCTATTAACAAACGCACCCAAAAACTGTTACCAGTTGTTGATGCTCATGCTGAGATCATCATATAGGATGAATAATCCTTTGGTAAAATATTTACTTAAATAATAAATAAGTAATTTACCTATGAAAAAAATAAATAATAAATCTGATTTAAATAAGGATTTAACAGCATGTTTTTCAATTTTTGGAACCTAACACCCCTTTTCGCACTAGTTCTTTGTTTCGTATAACACAGATTCGCATGACACGGCAATTTTTTGGAACGTAACTCCTGTTATACGGGGGTTACCTGTACCTACAGATGCTTGTACTATAAATGATAATTTTCAAAACAGTTCTCAGAATTTTGGAGAAGAGTATCAAGACGGAATTAGCAAAAGAGAAAATTGCTAAATACATACCAATCATAATGGTTACGAAATATCTACTTTTATTTTTTTTTTCTATTACATTAAAATCAAGTTTGTAATTATTATTATTGTCTGCTATTATGTTGTGAATTTTTAATCACAATGATACCACGTTCATCTGCATTTATAATGTATAATTTAAACAAAATTTTATTAAATATTTGAACCAGTTTCAGGAAAAGTATTAATCATATATTTAACATTTTGTTATTACTTTTAGTTATTTGTAATTGTGAATTACATAATTCTAATAAACTTTGTTCATTATTGAAAGTGCTTTCGTTTTTTGAATAGATGTATTTTGGTAAATCTTAAATACATTTATGAGTCATCGAAACAAAAAAAATTTTATTAAAATATTGAAATATTTTACATTTTCTTATTTTCTGCCAATTTCAACAAAACATCCGTTAATTGTTTCATGGCGTTTAATTTCTCTTCTTCTATTTTTTTTAAGTCAGTCCATCGTTTTTCTTCAATTTCTGCTTTTTTTTTGTCTTCTATTTTTTTTTCTTCTAAATATTTTTTAAACCACAATGGTGGTTCATCACTAGTTTTCTTCCTCTTTTGCGGTCTCTCGGTTTCTGTTTCCCTTTGAGAATTGGATGTACTTGGAGCAGAAATTAAATTCTGCTCCAATTCTGCTCCAGAAATTAAATTATTTTCATGTGGTTGACAGTTGTTTTGAGAGGTATATGACAAAGAACTTCTAAGATAGTTATTGGGGGGATCCACATTTGATCTATTTCCATACACTTCATGAAATGTATGAAAATATTCCCATTTTACAGCACCCCCACCAGACTCTTTTGTTCTGTCTACATTTTTTCTATAGGTACACATTAAATTTCGCCACTTAGCATGGCATTCTGTTGGCTGAAAAGTGTACCCATTTTTTTTCAGTGTGTCAGAAATCCTTAGCCATAATTTGGATTTCTGAATTGGCTTGAGGAATTCTTCTTCCATCTCTATCCTTGTGTTTATAAGTAGAAGAGTTGCTTGGCGAGTCCATTCATTAGCTTAAAAATTACAAAAAAAAAATCTTTATTTTGCATTCTTATATAGTTTGCTATAATTTATTATTTACACAAAATCTTTAACATGATATCTGATATAATATACATAATACTACATGCTGTTTTGGTATTGTCAAGAAAATTTTTTTGAACTATTACATTTAAAAATAATTAATCAAAAAATTAATTAATGAACACTTATTCTATCAAATGTATATTGTCTATATTTAATATAAAGCTGCTATTTATGTTTATTTGGTCATGTATATTTATATATGTTTATTTGTTCAATTTGAATTGCATTAATTAAAAGAAAATCTCAATATATAATAATTACAAAGTATCCTTATTGTATATTATTATTTAATATATACTTACCAATTTTTTCTGTTTCTGAAAGTTGTACATTTGTTTTTTCTGATCTTTCAGATGATGATTGTTCTATCATTGAATATATATGTAAAAAATAAAATAGAGGAATTTCATTAAAATTTATAAAAACAATAATTATCTATTTGGTTAAATACAACATTCAATTTTAATATAAAATATGTGCAGTACTTGTCAATGCCGAACGCTTACGATTCTCAGATCAAAGTTTATTTATATACGCAAGTAAATAATTGTGATCTGACAAAAACAATGAAAAATAAATGTATTGCTTACTTGAAATGATATTCAATTTTTTAAAATCTTACCTTCTGTCATCATTTTTGCTGTTTTTCATCAACCACAAAGTGATAAGTTTTATTATCGACGGTAACGCGTATCTCCCGCTTCGTCATCATTTTTTATTCAAACGTCGCTCCAATTATCCGTAATTCATTGGAAAGTAGCGGTCAACATATCCGTCGAGTGCCGAGTGCATTACGTTGGCGATACTTTGACGTCAAAAAAAAGGAACAAATTTTAATGAACGTCGAGATCGGTGTTGAAAATTGGAATGTCTCGTTTGACTAAGACAC